TTTCTTTTCCTCTTCCACGATGTTGTAATAATGAAGATGTCACCTAACGTTGCTGATCAGAAGCTTCTTTCTTTATTCAGTCTGATTCCAACTCTATAGTAAGACCCTCATAACTAAAGTTTAGGTATTTGATTGTTACCAATCACACTGCTCTATATTCACTAGTTAGTTTATAATGTTTGAGGAACGTCATTGAACTTTAAGTCGGAAGAAGAAGATCTTTAGGTAGCTCATCCACCATTATCGCCTTGATCCGATCCACTATCAATTATTAATAGATCAAAGAATAAAACAGAACAAAAGAAAAAAGATAAAGCACAAAAGAAGATTAGAGTAATTTATATATATATACAAGATCGAGTTTTCTCACATTACAATTTTGTCTGACGAAGACTTCATCGAAGTCGAAACTGTCACAAACAATTTAATAAATTATAAATAAATCATAGGAAGAGTAAAAAATTTAAACTTAAAACTCACTAGTCAGACAAAGAGAACAAGAGCGAGGTCGAAAATTATTGCGGTGTTTCAATGATCAGCAATTTGCTCGTACGAAATACTAAATCTGATGGAAACGCTGGATTCTGCGTTTTCGAAAGACGTAATGATAGCTTATTTTTCTCAGCTCATTTGTGAACAACCACCATGCTTCAAATTTTTGTGATCTAACTTAACTTACATAAACCAAATTCGCTAGATGACTTCTTTCTATTGAGACTACATAAAAGTATGTCTTTCTCGAGATTTGTCCCTCAAAAACTTTCCTTTGTCATCAAATTCTTCTCCAAATGTATACATTGTCATAGTTGTTAGGGTGAGAGTGAGCATTTCATAGAAAATTTGGGGGTATCCAGCTATGTAACAATAGACTCACTTTTCAGAGTTTTCCGAAAATCGTCTAGAAAATCACTTTTGGGAAACTTTAGAATTTCTAGTTTTTTGATTCGATACGATTCCCCATCACTTCTTCTACAAAACAAAACCAGACCGAGATCGATACGATGTTCCGTTCAGGCGCTAGCCTCAATTTACTGAAGATCTCTATTCACAATAATGTGCAGTCGCAAAAGGGCTATAAATTTTACTAGAAAATAGAGCTTTGACTATGCTGATCTATCTGAAGTCGTTTGCTTGACCTTCATGAAATTTTAGCTGTTTCAGGACTGCTTTTCCATTTTTCAAATAGCATAATAAATTATGTTTGACTTCAAATTCTCGATCTAAAAGTGATCCATCGCAATTATTTGCTTATATGACGCACAGTACCGTATCGCATAGTTTATTCTATAGTTAAATCTATACGAAATACAAAAACTTTTTTCAAGCGAATACAGTTTAAACAAGATGAACGCATGCTTCAACTGTTTACTCAGAACTATCGGATGCGTGAGGACCGGAGAAGAGAAGAGGAGCATTTGGATTGATGAAAAAGGTGAAGGTCGGCTACGAAAACACGATGGCAAGGGTAAACGTATTGCGATTTCGGCCGTGATTGACGTGCAAGGATTTGTAGAGCAGTTCGACGTATGGACGTGTGACAGCGATCATGCAATGAACAGCGACCATTTTCATAAATGGATCGGAGACGCCACTGGTCGTCTTCGTATCAACCATGGTGCTGGCTCAACCATCGCCATCATCATTGATAATGCCACCTAGTATAATGTGCTTTGCGACGACTCCAAGCCACCCAAGCGTGCTTGGCGAAACGATCAACTGCAGCAATGGCTCGATAATCATAGGATCCAGTGGGTTCCTAGATCATCAAAGGCTGAATTGCTGCAGCCAGCGTTTGAAAACGTTCCACCGAAACGATGTGTCACTAATGCTATTGCCCGTGCATTTGACGTCGAAGTCCTGCGGCTATAAAGCACTGCATTCTCAATCCAATATAGTTAGCATGGGCGCAGCTAAAATCGTACGTTCGAACAGCAAACATCAACTTTCGTTTATCTGATGTCGAGAATCTAGCACTCGAGTATATGGCAGCGGTTGACAAGGACTTAGCGCAAAGCTTCATTGAACACGCAAAAAAAGCAGAAGAGATATTTAAAACCGCAGATGCCTTTGCCGAAGATAGCATTGAACCGCAGCTAATAGATACGGATGACGAAAATGACTTCGCTTTACACGGTCCTAACGCATCCGATAGTTCTGAGTAAACAGTTGAAGCATGCGTTCATCTTGTTTAAACTGTATTCGCTTGAAAAAAGTTTTTGTATTTCGTATAGATTTAACTATAGAATAAACTATGCGATACGGTACTGTGCGTCATATAAGCAAATAATTGCGATGGATCACTTTTAGATCGAGAATTTGAAGTCAAACATAATTTATTATGCTATTTGAAAAATGGAAAAGCAGTCCTGAAACAGCTAAAATTTCATGAAGGTCAAGCAAACGACTTCAGATAGATCAGCATAGTCAAAGCTCTATTTTCTAGTAAAATTTATAGCCCTTTTGCGACTGCACATTATTGTGAATAGAGATCTTCAGTAAATTGAGGCTAGCACCTGAACGGAACATCGTATCGATCTCGGTCTGGTTTTGTTTTGTAGAAGAAGTGATGGGGAATCGTATCGAATCAAAAAACTAGAAATTCTAAAGTTTCCCAAAAGTGATTTTCCAGACGATTTTCGGAAAACTCTGAAAAGTGAGCCTATTGTTACATAGCTGGATATCCCCAAATTTTCTATTATCAACCGCGAAAACCCGATCTCGCTAGCTAGTATTGTTCCTGAGTTATTCAAAATGCAACCGACTGCATTCTTTTTTGAAATGGATAGTAGTTCAGATTAAAACGATTGCGAAGTCAACTAGTTCAGATTAAAATTTGATAAGCGAGGGAAGAGTGAGAAAGAGAAGTGAAGAGAGTGAGTGAGTAAGAGAGAGGAGAGTGAGGGTGAGGAACTAAGGGTCATTCTTTCTACCATAGAATTTGCGTTCAATGCACATCATAATTATGAAAAAATAATCATAGAAACCTATGATTCCGGAAAACGTTTTCACCTACGTTCATTTTTTGGTAGTAGTAAACTTTTTCTTGGTAAAATATGTCGAATATTTCAGTGTATTTCGCCTTTGTTACAATCTGAATTAGTTTAGATCAAAATTTTAATCTGCACTAGTTGACTTCGCAATCGTTTTAATCTCAACTAGTTCAGATTAAAAATTCATTCTGTCCTAGTTCAGTTCAAAATTTCGTTACGAGATGAAAAATACTAACGTCTTACATTGTCTTAATTAACGTCTTAATTTAAAATACTAACGGAATGATGAGAGTGAATGGGCATGAACACTACAGCACCAAGTTTTTAAACTCGTACGAGTTGAACGCTGCCTTCCCTATACTATATTAGAACATAACACAGTTTTGAAATCGTAACATGTTTTTAAACTCGTACGAGTTCAAAACAGCCAATACTAGATACAGTTAGGCGTTTTTTCATCGCATTACGAGTACGAAGTTAACATGAAGTCGAAACTCGAATATTCAAAGTTCTTTATCTTAAAACCCATGCATGGGCCAAACCTTTCTCTTATCTGCATTTGTAGTATTCGTAATGTTCTTTCATTTAACACCCTCCGCGTCAGTGTTGCAACCTCCGCAACCTCCGCGTCAGTGTTGCAGCGGGATAAGATCTGGTGTGAGCATCACATAGTGGGCCAGAATAGCTGGGACAAGGCAAAATTCCACTACTTTTGCTGGGAGTAGGACTGCAAAAGTTCAGCGGCTTAAAATGGCTTTCAAAATAGTTAGGTTTTCAGTAAAACTGTTGAAACTTTCATAAATGGCATGATTTTGCTTGGCACACACGTGCCAGCCGACTAAACAAACCGAAATTATATAACTTCAATGTTTTGTAACTGCGGTTTTTAAGGTTTCTGGAGACCTCAGCATCTACAGCCAGCTTGAGAAATCTTTTTGTTTTCATTAATGAAATTATACTACAAAACCATGTCATGTATGAAAGTTTCAACAGTTTTAGTGCAAAACGAACGATTTTGGAAGTCATTTTAAGCCGCTAGTTGGATATTTCTGCCATACTTAAAAAAAAGTTACCACAAAATTAACCAGCTGATCGTTACCGTTACTTCAACGGTAACTTGAAACGCAGTTACCGTTAAAACTAAAATAACTGAACAGACAGTTACCGTTGTTTTAACGATAACTGTCTTTTCCCCGCTGTTTGTGCAGCTGGGCTCAGTTGGATGAACTCTACAAAATGAGGTTGATCTTTCGGTTTGCGCTAAAACTTCTCTAAAATGTGGTATTATGCTTCAGATCAATTAATCCAGATGTGACGTCAAAAAGTTCTAAAACTAGCGATGAGATTAATTGATATGAAAAAACTTATGATCATCCCTCAACTATTGTACAACAGTTATTCTCGCCTCAGTACAGATACCCTCAAGGATTAAAAAAATCTTAGTTCCGTCATCGACACAAATTTCATCAAATAATAAATTAACATCCCTCTCGCAAATGCATCTAGGTCAATGAAGCGCTAGTATAAAGCTACACCATTAAATGGTAGTATAAAGCAGCAACTGCGTAAGCGACAACCCCATGATGAACTTCCTTCATTAATAAACCTAAAGGCGTCAGACTACCAAACAAATTATTATCATATCATAATAAAAACAGAGCGAAATTGTCGCTTCATCTATTTCATATTCATGACACAGACACTCAGTATACTCGAAATTGGAGACAATCAAATCGGAGTCAACGGGGCACAATATCTGGCTGATGCATTACGAAATAACACGGTGAGAGCAATTCTCTCGTCATCTCTCTTATATTACTGTTTCTTATTTGACACAGACACTCAGTACACTCGACCTCAAACGCAATAAAATCGGAGCTGTTGGGACACAATATCTGGCTGATGCATTACGAAATAACAAGGTGAGAGAAATTCTCTCTTCATCTGTGTCATATTGATGTTTCTTATTTCACACAGACACTCAGTACACTCGACCTCCGAGACAATCAAATGGGAGACAAAGGGGCACAACATCTAGCTGATGCATTACGCACTAACACGGTAAGAGAAATTCTCTCGCCATCTCTCTCATATTGGTGTTTCTTGTTTGACACAGATAATCACTACACTCAACCTCGGAAGCAATCAAATTGGAGACAAAGGGGCACAATATCTGGCCGATGCATTACGAAGTAACACGGTGAGAGAAATTCTCTCTTCATCTCTCTCATATTGATGTTTCTTATTTGACACAGACACTCAGTACACTCGACCTCCCATGGAATCAAATCGGAGACAAAGGGGCACAATATCTGGCTGATGCATTACAAAATAACACGGTGAGAGAAATTCTCTCGTCATCTCTCTTATATTACTGCTTCTTATTTTTCGCAGACACTTACTACACTCGACCTCAAACGCAATAAAATCGGAGCTGTTGGGGCACAACAGCTAGCTGATGCATTACGAAATAACACGGTGAGAGAAATTCTCTCGTCATCTCTCCTATATTGATGTTTCTTATTTCACACAGACACTCACTACACTCGGCCTTCGAGACAATCAAATCGGAGACAAAGGGGTACAACATCTAGCTGATGCATTACGAAATAACACGGTGAGAGAAATTCTCTCGTCATCTCTCTTATAGTACTGTTTCTTATTTGACACAGACACTCAGTATACTCGATCTCCCATGGAATCAAATCGGAGCTGTTGGGGCACAATATCTGGCTAATGCATTACGAAATAACACGGTGAGAGAATTCTCTCTTCATATCTCTCATATTGATGTTTCTTATCTGACACAGACACTCACTACACTCAACCTCGGAGGCAATCAAATCGGAGACGAAGGGGCACAACATCTAGCTGATGCATTAGGAAATAACACGGTGAGAGAAATTCTCTCGTCATCTCTCTTATATTACTGTTTCTTATTTGACACAGACACTCAGTACACTCGATCTCAAACGCAATAAAATCGGAGCTGTTGGGACACAATATCTGGCTGATGCATTACAAAATAACACGGTGAGAGAAATTCTCTCTTCATCTCTCTCATATTGATGTTTCTTATTTGACACAGACACTCACTACACTCGGCCTTCGAGACAATCAAATCGGAGACAAAGGGGCACAACATCTAGCTGATGCATTACGAAGTAACACGGTGAGAGAAATTCTCTCCTCATCTCTCTTATAGTACTGTTTCTTATTTGACACAGACACTCACTACACTCGGCCTTAGTGCCAATCAAATTGGAGACAAAGGGGTACAACATCTAGCTGATGCATTACGAAATAACACGGTGAGAGAAATTCTCTCTTCATCTCTCTTATATTATTATTTCTTATTTGACACAGACACTCACTACACTCCACCTCAAACGCAATCAAATCGGAGACGAAGGAGCACAAGATCTAGCTGATGCATTATGAAATAACACGGTGAGAGAAATTCTCTCTTCATCTCTCTTATATTACTGTTTCTTATTTGACACAGACACTCAGTACACTCGACCTTGAAGACAATCAAATCGGAGACGAAGGGGCACAAGATCTAGCTGATGCATTACGAAATAACACGGTGAGAGAAATTCTCTCGTCATCTCTCTTATATTATTGTTTCTTATTTTTCCCAGACACTCAGTACACTCGATCTCAAACGCAATAAAATCGGAGCTGTTGGGGCACAACATCTAGCTGATGCATTACGAAATAACACGGTGAGAGAAATTCTCTCGTCATCTCTCTTATATTACTGTTTCTTATTTGATACAGACACTCAGTACACTCGACCTCGTATGCAATCAAATCGGAGACGAAGGGGCACAACATCTGGCTGAGTTGGAGACGGAGAACCGTGCACTCAAGGTTATAATGTAAACGTTGTGAATATGAACTTGAAATGCAATTAGAAAGGTCTTAATAAAATGGTTATGGACACCTTCAATGGATTGGGGTGTGCCCCTCAAAAATACTTTATGATTGTGTAGGGGATGGGAGTGTCTAATTTCGTGACATGTGATTTGGTTGAGCGGGTGCGCGTTTATTCGTTGCCTTCCGGTCTAGAGTACTGCGGAGAAAGACAATGAGTCGACCATCCATCGCACACAACTCGTGTGGTCAGGTGTGTTCACGATGAGTGAATGAGTATGATGAAACAAGTTAAAAAGTGTTATATCTGAAAGGTCTTGTTGTGCTTTATGAACGGATAAAAATAAAACCGATCCAAAAGCTTATGCACCCATCTCCTAAGCGTGAATGCTATAAACCCGTCACGTTTCTAAGAACTAACATGCTGAGAGAAACTGTCTGTTCATCCGTCTCAAACTGGTGTTTCTTATTTGATACAAACACTCATTACATTCGACCTCCAACACAATCAAATCGGAGCTGTTGGGGTACAAAATTTGGCTGATGCATTACGAAATAACACGGTGAACAGATGAAAAAATTCAGGGTATCTTGCAACTACTTTTCGAACTCACCTCTGTGCCCCCTTCCTCCTCCCCTATACGAATAATCTTGTACATATGTCTGGCGCATATATATAGAGTATAATTCGCTGCGAACTGAAAATGTAACTACTATATTTGAGTTCGCGGCGAACTGATATTGTACACAGTGTGTGACAACAAAAAATGATTTTAGTTTCGCCTAGTTTATTTGATTCGAACCTTCTTTAGTGCAAGAAATAAACGAATGAAAAAGAAAAACTAACGATTTTGTAAATTAAATAGAAAGGAGTGAAAGCGAAGTACGATAGCGAATAAGTATATGATGATTATTAGAGCAGAAAACAAAGAAGGAAACATGTCATTCCGAGTTCAAGATTCTTAAGAAAGAACTGTATCACGTCCCATATGGATAGAATTGGCTTGGCATGCAATAACATGACGCTGCAACAAAGTAATATGTGTGCCAATCAAAACCATGTGATTTATGAAAGTTTCAACAGTATTAGTGGAAAGCTAGCGATTATGGACGCCATGTTAAGCCGCTGCCTGGATATTTCTGTCATACTTAAAAAATAGTTATCACAAAGTTAACTAACTGAGAGTTACCGTTGTTTTAAGGTAACTGTATTTTCAGTTAGCGTTAAATCAACGCAACATTTTACAGTCCTAGTTAACAGTTGACAGAAAAAACCAAGACTTAGAATTTATGGATGTCGTTCGAAACTTGAACTCGTTTTTATCCATCTCCGAAATTGTTGTAGATCAATGTTAAAGATCAAGATAAAATCAAATTTTCGAAGTCTATGCGACTGATCTCCGTTCTATTACGGGGGCCAAATTGAATTGAACTTATAATTTTTATAATTAATCCTTATTAAAATTTTCTATCAGCTATATTTGTCAAGGACTGGATAAAATTTTAGCTTTAATTTCGATTCCAGATGAAATGAAAAGTCGCAGAAATGATTAAAATTAAATGCATTAGTTATGAGTGATATTTAATTTGTGTATTGAAGACCTCACTATATTCAACCTCACTATATTCCTTCTTTATGTAATAATTTTTCATCATTTCACTTATTACTTTTCTGCTTATTAGTAATACGTGAAGTAATAAAAGATTATTACTTAAAAAAAGTAATAAGCAATAGAGTAATAAGATTCATTACTTGTTTTCAAGTAATAACTAATACGTTTTATTACGTATCACTTGGTAAAGAACAGTAAAGTGACACCCATATCGATGTGACATTTCTTTGAATAGATGATCATCTTCTCCATTGATAATCGATTGCATTGTCAACTCACAGCATAACTAACTGCAAGCTATAGCTAAACAGAACTTTAATCAGGTTTCAAAAGGAGAGGTATTGGATATTTTCAAATTAGCTATAATCGCTTTGTCATTGTTTCTGGCACAAGACTGACTATTTTTAATATGCAAGCTGCAATCTCTCTGTCGTCTAAATGAAAGCTAAATTGAATCACTGTTGGGAAGAATACGTATTAACGCTATATAATATACATATTTAAAATTAAATACTACTATATTTGCTATACATATTTGAAATTAAAATACAACATTCGAGAGAAACGTTTGATGGTGCTTATAAGGGTGTTCCTATATACTGGTGGTCATACAGTAATCCCTGCTCGCCTACAAAGCTAGAAATGAAGTGCAAAGGATATTCTGACGTTAAAGATGGTTATTAAAAAACATAATAATCCTTAGTTTAATCTTAGACTTTCTAAGAATCTCACAATCTTAATAAGATTTCAGTAAGCCTCTCACTGGGATAGTTAGTTTTAAGCCTTTATGTACTATCTGTCTTGAGTGGTATGAGGGCTAGTCCGAAACCAATCCTCAATGTTGAATACTTCGCACCCCTCTGAGCTTCCAGTTGTGCTGGAAATAAATTAGGCTGTGCAAGTTTGATTTTTACCCCAAAAGACTTGAAAGCTTTTCTAATCAACATGAAAACTCCAATGTTTTGAGAAAACAGTGAAAAATAACAGAAAATCTTGAAATTTTTCGTTTTTTCTCATGCAAATCCTCAACATCTTTCTTCAAACGCTAGAAAAGTCAAAAGATCTTCCTCATTTGACCCCAACTCGACCAATTGCGATTTCTGATTTGTAATAGGATCTCTCTATCGACTGGCGAAAAAACCATCCATCTTTATCTTCTTCCCTACCGAACGTTATTCCAGAAATATTCACGCCACTATTCTTGACAGTGAAACTCTTAGCACATTATGTAAGCCATGCGATTTCGTCGAAAAGTCGAATTTCTGACTGACGCTGTTGTTTCATGACGTCGCGAGAGAGTGATAAAAGAACTTGTGAAGACTATTCTCTATTGTTTACAGAGAATAATTATGTGTATATGTGTAACCAACGCTTTCCTGAGTCAATTAGTGTCATCAAATTTATAACATGCTGAGAGAAACTGTCTGTTCATTCGTCTCAAATTGGTGTTTCTTATTTGATACAGACACTCATTACACTCGACCTCCAACACAATCAAATCGGACCTGTTGGGGTACAAAATTTGGCTGATGCATTACGAAATAACACGGTGAACAGATGAAAAAATTGTTTGATGACGATGCTCTATGTATACGTGTGACAACAGCGGTCATGCACAATTTGAGTTCGCTGCAAGCTCATTTTTCTGTCGTTTTTTTCTTTTGCAACATGTGTCCATGGTATCTTAGATATTTAGGATATCGTGCAACTACTTTTCGAACTTATATAGAGTATAATCCGCTGCGAACTGAAATGTAACGATATTTGAGTGCTTCACTTTTCATTTTTCTTGCATGGTGACAAGTCATATTTTATTTTATACTGTCACATAGTTAGACCATGCAACATACTATTCGTCATAGTCCACCATCGCCTATAAATTCGTCTTTATTAAAAAAATCGAAATCGTTGAAAACGACAACGGACACCATTAATTTAACTCAGTTAATCAAAAATACTTTTACATCCTTATTAACATCTGATGTATTCATGCAATCCATTGAAACAATAGTAAATAAAGCATGTCAACCACAAGATGAGCTAATTAAACAATTGACTAACGAGTTGAACGAAAGATACGAAAGATGAATTAAGACGGGTACAAGATGATTTGAATCAACTGGAGAAATACGGAAAGCGACGTGATCTCATTTATGGAATTTCATATAAAAAAGATGAAAATGTCACTGATATTGTCTTAAAATTAAGTAATACATTAGGTTTAACACTAAAGCAAAATGATTTTAACGTTTACCACCTACTAAAATTCAGCAGACAAGACGAAACAATCAATTATTGTTAATTTTCTGAGATTTACTGATCGTAACGCTTTTTATTCGTCTCGGAAACGTTGCCGTGACCTTGATGAGTACTAGAACGTGTTTATCAATGAACGTTTGGCCTAATATAATAACCAAATATTCGGTCATGCACGAAAACATTTAGACAAAAAACGCATTTTTACAAAAAATGGTAATGTTTTACTTTATGGAGATAAAGGCAAAATAAACAATTGTATTCAACGTTAGAAATTGATAATTCGTTAAATAATTAGAACTGTGACAGTTACATGGTCTCGATGACCTTCAAGGCAGCTATCTTCTTTCTTTTTCTCGTCACGTTTTTTATTATTTTGTTGTTATGTCGAACGTCAAGATGACCTGGCTAAGCGGTAGTGAAGTGGCGTGTATTTTTTTTCCATCATGAGTACTGATAATAACGTGCCTACTAGCATAACTTTGTCGTCAATGAATATTCGGAGTTTAACTTCGGAGATAGAGGCATTTAATGCTTATCTATCTTTCAGTTGGCCGGTAGTTTGGTGTCTCACTGAGACGTGGTTAGATAATAATATTGTAGACAGTGATATAAAATTTCTTCATTATCTTTCTCCAATACGCTTAGATCGTAATCGGCAAGGTGGTGGTTGCGCAATTTATGTGAGAAATGACTTTTACGTAGTTAGGCTGAATGAATTTGAAAGTCTGCCCTTTGAAATACTCATTGTACATTTAACTCTTTCAAACAAATTGAGTGTTTTGATCTTGAGTGTTTATCGACCAAAACTACGTAGAATTTTGGATGAAATTAATACATCAAAGTTTAAAAGTGACAGGATTTTATTAGTAGGAGATTTTAATGCGCACAACAAATTGTGGTCTAATAATCATATTCCCTTTACTAAGGAGGGTATTGAGTTCGTCGAATTCCTTGATTATGTAACAATGTATCAGCTAGTTCGTAGGGTAGAGATATAAAATACACATTTAGGTTTAGTAATTACAGGTGATCCTTCTTTTGTCTGTGACCTAACTATCCATCCGCCATTATACTGCAGTGATCATAACTTTTTAGAATTCAGAATTAACTCGCGCATGGTTTGTAAAGATAAAATAAAACATATGATTTACGACTGTAATGTTGTTAACTGAGAGAGCATAAAGAACCGTTTTAAAGAAATTCCGTTAAAGCTACTTCTGAAAAAGTATAATAACGTTAATGATATGTTGCAAGCCTTGGAAAAAATCTTAATTGATTGTAGTAAGACCTATGTACCTTATAAAGATATAACTGTTGAACCACGAGATCAAATCTGGTTTGATGCTAAATTACGTATTTTATATACGAAGAAATGTAAGTTATTCCGTAAAAGAAAGAGTTCGCTTTACCACTTGCAGTTGTATAAAGAAGTTGCTAATGAATTTAAAGTAGCTTGTCTCTCTACAAAAGAAAACTACAATAAGAGAACAAACAAGGAAGTTCTTACTTCTACTAAAAACTGGTGGAGTTTAGTGAAACATACGTTAGGCAGAGGTCGAACAACCGCTATTCCAGCCCTATACAATAGTCAAAAGCAAGTTATAGTGGATGTGCAAGAGAAGACTGAGATTTTGAATAGTTACTTTGCAGAAGTAACTACATGGACTGGACCTAATATCGATCCAAAGATTGCTGATGCATTGCCTGAATCTATGGTTATACTTGGTGAGTTTAAGGTTTTCCCTAAGAACTCATATAATCTGAATTCAGAAAGCCGTATAAAGTTGTATTTGGTAAAGTCGTTTCTGTATGGGTTCAAGGCATCTGCAAGTTTCTATAGCGTTTACTGTTTAAGTGCCACAGTGCTTTTTCGTAATTGGGTATCACATTTCTAAATTTCAAACATCGACGGCAAATCTTATCGGGATCGGGATTGAAATCAAGAATTTTTTATATAATATAACTAATATAATTAACTTGCACATTTCGAATTCAGAAGAATCTATTCATTCTCGTTAACATGTTCTGTTTGAATGATTCGGTTTGATCTTTTTTGTCACGTGAATGTCTTTGTGATTATAATACATAGAATGAGGAAATAAACGCCGATCATCGCTTTAAAATGAGAGAAAATGACGTCTTCTAGGTGAAACTAAATTTTTACTGCTAGATAACACCAGCTAGCTTCACGCGGTCTTTGGTACACTGTCACTACCAAAACGTGGCTTAAAGTCCTGAAAATACATCAGAATTGTGTAAAAATGTTTGCTCTTTTAGAGTCTATAGTCAAAAGTGTTTCTGGCTTTTCGTAAATGTTCGAAAGTGTCACCAAAAAGGATTAAAAAGTATAAAAAAGTTTACGTCCATCTGTAAAGGGTCATCTTCCTTTTTCTCCGTTGTCTGATCTTTCACTGACCTATTCACCGTATTGAACTTTTCCCTTCCACTAGCCCTTGACCTTGCATTCACCTTTCTTCAACTTATAATAATGGATTTTTCTCTCTTGTACAGTTCATGACTTCTCGTTCAGCTTTACTGCTTCTCTATCTACTTCTCTTTGTACATCATCGATGAACTCTTTCGATACGGTTCAGTGCTTTTGCTCATTTTTACATTTGTATAGACACATTATAGTGAGTTGTATTAAGAAATAAACTCGAGAAGGGTCAATTCCCTTTACACCGTCTACAGGCTTTTACTATTGTATTACAAAGAAACCTGGAAACAATGTAATACTTCTTGTATAGATATAACTCTTAATGTTCTGTCTAGTGAGCACATCAGAAGAACAGAAAACGCTGTAAGGCAGTATTAAAAATAAGAAATACGTGAGAAACGGCAGGTTTCGGGCGGTATAGAATAAGAAAAGTAAAAAAAAATGCATTGTAATAATACACTGAATTTTTCATCATGTTTTATCGTTTGTTGATCATTTGACTGGCTTTATACTCTTTAACCATAAAAACTTTCGTATCATTCTATCGTTTGAAAAGTTCGAGCGAACATGATGCTTATTCTATATACCACTACACTGATTATAGTGATCAGCGATATAACAGCCCATCATTTTCCGTTTTCAACTGTGGGTCGTCATATTATTGATTCAACAGGACAAACATTGAAGTTTTCGTGTGTGAATTGGCCCGGTAGTATGGAAACATTAATGCCCGAAGGATTACAACACAATAGCGTTAATAATATTGTTCTGTTAATAAAAGCAATGGGATTTAACTGTGTCCGATTAACATTTTCAATCGACATGACACTATCGAAAAATCAAAATATAACAGCATTAGAATCATTACAGATGCAAAGTTTGGGCAGTGCCGTCTCAGGATTTCAATTGTATAATCCTACATTATTGGATGAAACTGTTCTGTCCGTATTCAACATTGTATTAGACGCATTAGAACAACAAGACATCCTTATCCTGTTAGATAATCATGTTAGCAAAGCCATGTGGTGTTGTAGTGACTCTGACGGCAATGGCTTTTGGAATGATAAATATTTTGATCCGATTGAGTGGGAAAATAGCCTTCGATTGATGTCACTAATTGCCAGGCAGAAACATCACATTGTTGCCATTAGTTTAAGAAATGAATTGCGAGGTTCACGACAAAATTTACCAGATTGGTACAAATACGTACTAATAGGTGTTATTGACACAATTCACCAGACAAATCCAGATATATTAATTGTTATCTCTGGTTTGAATTATGATTTAGATCTTTCATTTATTCGATATACACCTGTACAAGATTTGTTACCAGAACCGATAAAATCGAAAATTGTTTATGAAGGACATTGGTATTCATGGTCGAATTACGGGCATTCATCCGAATGTACAAAAATGCAGAATGGAGTTGAGGATGCTTGGGGTTATATCACGACAGAAAATGAAAAATATACTGCGCCGATATGGCTAACCGAATTCGGAACAAATGTAGATAATTTTGTAGGTGATAATTACATCAATTGTGTTAGCCAATATGTACAAAACAAAAACATTTCATGGGCCTATTGGGTACTAGCGGGAAGCTATTATATTCGGGATGGTACTCCAGAATTCCATGAATCATTTGGTTTGCTTAGTGACGACTGACAGACGGTAAAATCAGATTTATTTATGAAAATACTGGCTGATATGCAAAAAGGTTAATTATTGGTTTTACTCGTATAAGTTGCTTCACTTTTGATGATAGTATATATCATCAAAAGTGATATATCTTTTATGCCTTGCACTCCTTTTAGATTATTCGAAAAAATATTTTTAAAATTTAAAAAAAATTTCATTATTCGAATTTTTCCAGTTTAAATTTTTAGTTCTATCAACTCAGACGTTCTAGCAGAAATTCGATTTAGAAGATGAGTGACTAGAATTTTGAATGCGTAACTCGATATTTATTACTTTATGAGAAATACTGAGATAAAAATAGAAAAATAGATTCTCCGGATTGCTAGATTTGACAAGTTTAGGTTCTTCATAAGAAAAAATTACTGTCAAATTCATCATGGTCATCGGTAATTGTAGCTGAAAAGTTTTGTATCGCATTTAGTTTTGTATGATGGATGGAGAAACTACTATCATATTTGGTTGAATAGTAAGTGATGACAGGCAGAATACCGATTTCATAAATGTGAAGAAAAATACAAGTTGAAGTTGGAGAAAATGTTTGGTTTAGAGCACCAGATCATTCGTCTACACAGCTTATAGATTCTTTCAACTGGGTGATTGTTTTACGTTAGTTACAACCTGCATATGATCGGCTTGTCCACGTAACGGTCCACTCTTCGTAAGTCCGTGACGTTTTGTCATCATTGCGCACTCGAGATACACAACTGGGAGTTAGTTCTTAGTTTAAAGAGTAAACATTCGTGTTTAAATTGATAGTTAAAAAAAGCTGATCAATACTCATTAAAAACAGTGTCCTTTCTCACTTTGATATGATCGAACCCTTATCAACTAAAATTTCAGCTAGGAGAGATAATCCATGTACATAGAATATCTCGTCTTCCATGAAAGACAATATAAAATCATGGTTTTTATTACTAATGTGCTCAGACTGGAACAATCTTTCTCATATAATTATCGCTTCTTTTTCTCGGTAAAACGGAAGATTGACAGCTGGAATTTTGCCATTGTAGTTTTTACTTATATTTTCGACAAATTGCTGAAAGACAAATCTGATCTTCGACATTGTGCAAATTTCAGATTGTTTTTCGACTGTTGTCTTAAGTCCTTGTAATTTCGACAATAAATATCGACAATTGTCGTAAATCCATTGGCATTTCAACAAATTACTAAATATTAGTAAAAGTAGTTTGAGTCGCATAATATCAAAAAAATTCATCATGATGTTCACACTTATTTAAAGCAATAGATTAAAACAGAATCACTGAACTGCAGTCTTCTTCTAATCATTCACAAATGAAAACAAAATAACAAATAAGAATTTTCTTCTTTTTTTTTTAAATACAGATACCACTGTGAAACCAAAAAACAGCAGAATTTGTGTATCTCACAGCAAGTGGACTATGAGAAAGAAAAAAATCACATAAATTACAAAAATATTTTCGACAACTGAAATTGAAAATTATTGTCGAAATTCCGTTGGATTTTCGGCAGTTGTCGATGTTCATTATAAGTACGAAAATGCGAAGAAAATCATATTAATTTTCGACAATTGTTAAAATTGATTGATTTGCGATATATTATCTCGTGCTTTTATGCAAGCTTCAAACTGAATGTTCCATTCATACCATCCAGCATGTATTTCAACATTTTTAAATCTATTGACCTATCAACTATTAGCATTTCCTTGATAATAAATTTAAAATAAAATGTTTGTTGTTTAAAATAAGATGTCTCCCGACTTTGTATGAACTTCCATCGTCACACTATGGCATGATCAGTATGAAGAAAACGTAACGGACTTACAGCGCTACCGTTAAAATCTTAAGTGAAGAACAAAATAACTGTTAATCACAATCTATACAAATATAGCTGAATGGTTATTTCCAAGGGGGAAAAGGCGGAATGGGCTGGAATGGGCCATTCCGTACCATTCCATACCATTCCAAACATTTTTGACCATTTTGGAATGGTATGGAATGGCCTGGAATGGTCCATTCCAATCCATTCCGTACCATTCTATACCATTCCAAAACACTTTTTCCCCCTTGGTTATTTCTATTTAAAAGGTTATTATCAATGTGTCGATTATTGTAGTAACATTTTGAAATTAATACCTATTCAAAAATGGTTAAACTGAAATATAAGTAATTCAACATCACGTTGAACGTACTTTCGATTTGCTGATAGGTTTCGACATACTCGTATGCTGTACCTGTTCGAGTGTGATAGACAAAAAGTACTGTTTTAACTAACCTACGATGCAAAAGTAATTGGACAAACATCGGGCATTATTTCTACATGTTCCTGACGTGCTGGAAAGTTAATTATTTTTCCGTTGGAAAGGCAAAGTCTGATCTTCAAAAAACAAAGAAAATCAAACGAATTTGAAAAAAATTTCAAAGATCGGTTATTCAGGAGATCTGTAGAAAACTGACATAGAAATCTATGGACTTTTTATCATAGATATATAGTCCGACGTGTCCTGTACAAACTAAGCGGCATCTTGGAAATCCATGGTTCGGGAGCTATGGACGTTTTCTTTTGAATTATTCAAAACGTAAACGATGGCCTTTTATTTTGGGACGGATAGTAGAAGTACTTTTATCGCTCTTTCAAATAGTGTATAATGAATTATCTTTCGATTCATCTTTCAACCAGTAATTATGATAGTTTTCATTAATTTTAGAAACAGAATTAATTAGACTTAATTAATGCTTTTCAGATACTGATCAAGCTTTATTCTCTTGCTAAAATACAATTTTCGAAACATCATTCAATTCTCTACAAACTCACATTCGTGTTAGTCCTTACTAACATCGTTTGCTCCATGAATAAACAGATTTTCTGGATGTTTCATCTTTCTGATGCAAAGCAGTATTTTTTACCAAACTAGAGTTTTATATACGCTTTTATTACTATCAAAGAATTACTGGAAGATTTTCAAAAAAAGAAGGATCAATAGAGTTTTGCGCGTGCGACATTCTTATGTATTGGGCTTTCAAACAACGTAAGGAAAGTTAGCAGGGGACAGATTTCTATATTTTTGCCTAACATTTTTTTATTAAAGCTGTGCCACCTTTGGAAATAAGTGTACCAGATAGAACTCGATGAACTCTATCGATTGATTGGTGAGACCACTTTTCCAAAACATTGTTGAGCTCGAGTTTAAAATGCAAAATACTGATTTTCTGAACGAAACGAAAACTCAAAATTTTGTGCCTTTCTCTCGTTCAGAAAATCAGTATTTTGCATTTTAAACGAGAAATAAACAATATTCTGGAAAGCTGATTTCACCAATCGATAGAGCTCATCAGGTTCTGGCACACTTATTTCCAGAGATGGCACAGCTTTAATACAAAAACGTTAGACGAAAATATAGAAATCTGCGTCTAACTTCCCTTACGTTTTCAAACAAGGTTTGTCTTTCTGCCTATGGTGAAACAGTAGCGAGAACGATACTTTACAAGAGCTTTTTTGGCGATGCTTGAGATTCAGATTTTTTCTCACTCAAACTCAATCACAAAAAGTTTGATTTTTTTTGTTTTTTGAAGATCAGACTTTTCTTTTCTAACGGCAAAATAATTAACTTTCCAGCACATTTGTCCAATTACTTTTGCATTGTAGATTAATTCCAAAACTCCATAATTACTTGAATGTTCCACACAGCCAACACTCAGTAAGAATGGCAAAATAAAAACATACACAGTCAACGAGGAAATATTAGCCCAATCGAGATATATTCAGCATTTTTACAGCGGGAGAAATCTGTGCTATATCCCGCTATTTTTGAGTAAGTCACTTTTGTTTCAAAAAAAAGGATGCTGATGGGACAAAAGAGTTAGGCATGAGGAGAAAAAGAATCTAGTATAGTTTTTCTTCCTCTTTCTAATGATAATGTCAAAGCTTTTCGTTAATATCATCATTTAACAAATTTTATTTTAAATAAATCGAATTTATATCTCGATTGATCTATATGTTTTTTGACAATATCCCTATCGGGATATATTTTAATTCCAAAACGGGATATAGAGCATGCGTCTCTACTGACAGTCCTTGTGGCTTGTTAGAACGGTGGAAATAAAAAGTTTGCAAACAATCGTATGTGCTCGCACAATTTTAAAAAATCAAAATTGATAAAACACGAAAAAGTACATACAAGAAAGAAACCGGAAAAAATTGTGTTTTTTACCGTCGAAATAGTTAGATGGAAATTATCAGACTTTCAAAAAAAAAAAAAATACTCAGAATCAAGCCGAGTGATACAGACAGTTTGAAAAAACTTTGTATATAATATAAATCGTCAGAGGAGCATCGAGTATAAGTTACATTAAAAATTTTTCCAAATGTGATACTAAAACGATATGTATACTCTTAAAACGTTATATTTGTTTAAGGATAAAAATTTCAGAATTGATAAAATTTTAATATATTTTAATTTTTTAAAAACTTTGAATTAAATAAATATGAATCTAAAATCAGCTGCCATTACACTCTAAAAAAAAATTGTAGAATAATAAACTAAAAAGGGTTTTTCATTTTGAAACGACATCGAACGCTTTTTTGTATTTTGAAGTTCTCAAAGAGCCCTCCACCCAAACCGTGCGAAAAACCTTAAAGGTATATCAATAAATTTGAGTTTACTGATCAACCTTTAAGGGTTTTTCGCAAGATTTTTTGAGCACTTTAAAATACAAAAAAGCGTTCGGTGTCGTTTCAAAATGAAAAACCCTTTTTAGTTTATTATTCTACGATTTTTTTTTTAGAGTAGCAGCTGATTTTAAATTCATATTTATTTAATTCAAAGTTTTTAAAAAATTAAAATATTTAAGTAGACGTTTGAAAAATTTTCATTTTCAAGATATTAAAAACATTCAACGTGATGTAAAGTTAAAAAGAGTATGACCAGAGGCATAAAAAGAGAGAAAAATACTTTATTTTTGTGATAGTGAGCGAAGAATAGACATCATTTATAAAAAAAGAGAAAAATATATTTTTTCATAAGTGTGTGAGAGAGAGGAATTGACAAGAAAAATACATTTTGTAAAATCTGGATCATGAAACAAGCTGTGAGGTATAAAAGGTCAAAAAAAATAACTTGAGATGTTATTTTGTCAAAATGTTGACTCGATCTGATGGCAGCCTTTTCGGAATTCCATTAGGATATACACACAGAAGAACTGAACGTACTTTACGATTTAATTTTGGCTGGTATTCTAATATCATTAAAGATTGTTTGATAGGTAGACGATAAGAATTTAAATCTGTGAGTAAAATTTAAAACTCTTCCCAATTAATCATATGATTAGTAACTTATCAGACATATGTTTTAGAAGACCTTACTTCACATTTTGCATAGATATTGTCACACTGGATGATCCGATCTCCATCTCACCAGCTTTCTCGTCATTGTCTTGTTTCTTTGTGTCTCTTATCATTAGATTTCTAATATCTGTCAATTTCTCATTCGAGATATCTTTATTTAAGATTCATAGTGATTCTGTTGTGGTGTAGGTTGTATACTTGTTGCATTCACTTTCGTCGATCGCTTATTTAACAAACATTGTCTTATATCATTATTTGTTAAACATTGTTGTTATTGTCACTGGGACGCTAGTTAGACTCAAAAATAAATATGAAACACAAAATTGTGATACCAATGGCTCGGCACCAAAATCAATCATTGCAAATATCATATGGGGTAGATAACAAACAATTAAAAATAATGTAAGAGAAACAATATGCTTTAAGATTTCTAATTGTCGTTCAGCTCGAAGTAAAGAGACGATTGTTGCTAATTGACGATATGAAATGTTGGCATCTTCACATATTTAACTAACTTATAATATAAAATAATGATTAATGCTGCAGATGCTATATAAATGCATGAAGCAACAAACAGACAACAAACAGAGTCGATCAGGTTTTTCTACATGTATCAGATCTTTGTCATACATATATAACATACTCTTCTCTATCCTGCCAAGAAATTGCAAAGATGACAAGTATCACAAGTAATATAATGCATAGCGTTTATACTGAACAGATATATAATTTTCATCATGCTATTATCTGTTATTGATATCATTCCGTCATTGAAATTATCAATGATAAACAAATGATGATACTTTGTAGTATACTCTTGTATATCTTGCTGATAAATTGCAAAGATACAGCTACACAATCACCAATATGTCCACATAATAAACACAGTCCATCAGTTTCTTGTACATTTTTGAGATCTTTGTCATACATATATAGACCATCAATATACCATTGTTACAGTATAAAATTGACGATTTATCAATAAAATTTATCAATCGGTTCTCATGATTTGATCTCACTATAGTCACTTCGTTATACGTTTCCACCACAACTGAACCAACTCCATCTTGGTCGTCTTTTTGTCAAGTTTTTTCGTAATGCTCTTACACCTTCACTAATTTTCTTCAAACGATTCCACTGCTCTGGTATATTAAGATAATAGTCTTCTATTCTTTTCATATCAGCCGTTAACTTCCGTAAACCATTTATGTCCACATTATATTTCGCCAGTAATGAATAATTAAATTGTGAGTCGCACTTACCATTCATGTTTGTTAAGGAAGAAAAAGTTTTTGAATAGTCTGTACGACATCAATCGGCTTTTTATACTTTTTTACAAGAGACTCTTGTAATGAAAATTGATTCTCAAAAAGAAATATTCCAATCTGTCATAGTCTGCTGATGTCTACTAGTCGTTAGCTGTTTGCAAAGACTGAAACCAGCCGTTTTACAGGCAGCAAACTTAGACTTGGTTTTAGTTTTCATTCATGAAATTTTTAGTCGAATAAGAAACTTATCACGTTGAACAAAAATAGAGGTTCTGAATATTTCTAAAACAGGTAGTATTATTGTATTATCCATGTACAACAGACGAAAATGTATAGAACAGTCCATGTCTTTTTGTTTCACAGTTTGCCTTGCTTTTTCTTCTATACTAAGGTTTTATTTTGTCTTTTTTCAATGAAAACTCGACTTTTAAATACAATGTTTTGCAACATTATGGATTATATCATACCAGTTGAACTTCCTTTCGGAGATATACTCATATATCACTTTTAGTGATGGTCGCTATACTTTGTATCAACAGTTTTCAGATTTTTCTTTTCACACTTTTGATGACTAGTCTTCTACATTAGTTGATTACTCCAATTAAGTGAAGCATGAATCGCATTTTTGTCCAAGAACTAAAAGCACCTTTCTTTTTCTTTTTATTGTTTTGAAAAGCAGCATAACCTTTTTGTACAAAAACATATTTGAACGCATATTTGAAAATATGTTCAAAGCTTGCAAACCAGTTCCAGAACTACTTAAAACACATTCAGTTAAAGTCTTTCATAGAAATTCTACTGAAACTCGTTACTACGCAGAATGTTTTTCAAAAAAGACTGTTACATATTGATAAGTAGACTTGAGCAGTAGTCAGATGTTTATATTTTTTTCTTATCACATGTTTATGCATATTTCTTTTCAGGTTTTTAGGTTTGTTCTCGAAGTAATAAATGCTAAAAATTGTTTCCTTGACAGAGCATTGATAGCAACAAAGAGAAAAAGGCAAAAACATACAAAAAAATTTTTTAAAAACTACCCAGCTCAAAGGAGGCCGGGTCTTCGTCCGGAGTTGGAGAAACACTGGATCTGAGATCGCGTGTTCTCAGTTCTAGTGACACGATACAAAAAAGAATTTTTTTGATCAAGAAAAGTGTTCTGTGAAGATTTCTTTTTACCAATCGATAGCTTGTGATCTGTACTATAAATTTGTCTCTTGAAATTGTCCAGATGCGTTTTTAGTTTGGCAGGAAATTGTAGCACTATGGACAACTCTAAAAATTTGGGGCCTTTTTTTGTCACTGCACTACGCTCCGTAGAATAACTCCAAAGCCTTCAGATCTGTACCAAAAACCTTCATTTTTTTACTATACATAGGGTTTAACGAGCTGCATCGAATGACGCAAGAATGAGCTTTCTGGGTCTCCTATTTCTTGAGAAAACTACGAACTACTGTGTAAAAAATATCACTGCGGTACGTTTGGACAAGTTGAGGGGTACCCTTAATTCTTTTATCAGAAAAAACAAGAGCAGTGTAGGTACTTTCTGTTAATCTAAACACTCTTACCGTGCTTTGCAATACCTAATTTTTCTTACAAAAAATAATCATACAGTTTTGCAAAAAGGACACGTTTTGGTTTTTCATGTATTTAATGAACCATTTTCAGTTTTGGGAAGAAAGCTGAAAACTGTTTGCTTTGAAAAACACGTTTTTTCACGAGAGTCAAGCGATACGACGCTCACACACAGTCGCACGAATTCTATGTACCATTTAGAATAAGACACAAACTGGTAATTTCCATGCGATAGAAATTCGCTCTGTGCTATAGCTGATAAATTTTTTCAGCATATCTGGGTAGCTAACCAGGGTCTAGGATAATTGGTCGCTAGGACACTTGCTCGCTGAAGAGAATTTTGTGAATTTTTAATTAAAAAATCCAGAATAAATTGTGGGAATTAATTTGATTACTTGTACTCAAACACTATATTCCAAATTGATGATTTTTATGTAATGATGAGTTAGATTAAACGCTATATCCCTATAAAAGCTGTGCCACTCCCAACACAGTTCACTACAAAAACAATCATATCAATTACTCTCTCTAAAACCTCGAAGGGCGCTCCACTACTGATACACAACGGCTTGTCATATATTATTATTCGCAGAAACGATGAAAAAATATGCCTGCCGTGACGATTATATACAGATTTAAGCAATGTATTCATTAAAACGGTTGGTGATCATGAAAACCGTACTGGAAATCCACGTTCTGAACCAGTTCGACAGTACTATGAACGATAACAAGGAGAATCAAAACAGAATCAAACAAATCCTTTCAATCGTACAGAACACCGGTATTTATTATGGTAAAATATTATGAAGACTTGTTGTCCGCGAGCAACTGTCCTCGTAAGCAACTGTCCGCCTCCCGCCAATCAGTCATTACGCAAATTTCAGGATTTCTTTTCATGATGTCCAGGATTTTTATATTGCTTAGGCTTACTCTAACATGAATTACTGCCGAATTTTGGTTTAGTCTTGTCATTACAACGGACTGGACAAGCGAAAGATTCTTTTTGTGTATTGTTCTTTTCTTCTTTGATAACTGATATGCATCAGAATGTGCTCACCTTATCTACCATTATGTGGTGGATTCGATGCGGGTAGCTAGTTACTATCATCCACTGAAAAGTAGAATAGATTGCGTTATTTTTTGGATACCGTGATAGAAAAACGATAGGAATTTGCATTTTCGTCATTTTCTGCAGTAAAAGCTTCGGCTATCTATCAGCAAAAAGAAATCAAACTATTAGCAATGTTTATTTTCTGGAAAGTGTGAGAAATGTTAGTGAACTAAACTTTGAGGAAAGTTCCTTATCATTAGGGGATAAAAAGTTCAGAGCTTGCTAATAAGCTAACTAAATCGCTTGAAACTGTTAGAAGCTGACTAGACCTTTCATAAAAAGTCAATATTGAGCTAAGCACATCATCAGATAGCCCTTTTGTACCAGGTAGCATTTTGCTTTTTGTTTCTGGAATAAATTGAAAACATCGAAGAGCCAAGCTAGAGCGTCACTAGAGAGACCTCTAACAGAAGACCGGAACAAATTTTTTTGATTAAAAGTAGCACTTTTAAGAAATATGAAGCGTTCAGTCGTATGAAGTATCGTCAGTACATATTGTCAGGATTTTTCAGCATAACTTCGGAAAAAAGCGCAGCTGCGTTTTCCTGATGGGACCCCATAATCTTGGACTTGCTGTCAATGGAACAACAGAAAAGTGCACTAAAAAGGGTCATCGATTGCACATCTATAGAGATATGCATTACGATAAGATTCGAACACTAGTGTTTGGATTATACAGATTGACGTTTAATTGCCATGGAAATGGACAAGCTTGACTATCAATTGGGATTTCGTATTGTTTCGATGTGCGCTTGTTTAACAGCTGAATCTTGAATTCATTGCAGTTTAAGACTAGATCAACTGCATCATTTTCGCAAATGTCACCATCATAACCATCATAACCAGGATTATTTTGACCTTTGATAAACACATACTTTCTCGTACCTGAAAGCCAGCCATATGCTGAAGTAGACGTTCGAGAGTGTTCATGAGCTGGAGCAGAATGATTTATGATTCCAACATAGACCCAATCAACAACTTTTTCCATTTTTAAGCGAATTCGATGAATACCGGTAGAGTACAATCCTGTACCACGAACTTCTGATTGTGTGACGCTTGCGTCGTGTCTAGCCACTTTACCATTATCTGCAAGCTCTATTTTGCCAACCAGTTTATTAAATCTTTCTTGATTGCTTTCTTGGATATTGCTACTTGCCGATTTATTCACATATTTGCTATCAAATCCGAGCTGTTGTATGAATTTTTGAAATTGCTGCTCAAAACCAGCAGGTAATCCAAATACTTTTTCTTCTTCAGCGAAAACAGTATCATTCCATTCTCTCAATTGGTCAATAAGACATTTGAAAAGTGCGGGACTATAGTCAAGGAAAATGTAACCATCCTTGTCTTTCATTATTTTGTCTTCCCATTTTCCAGAAAACATCTTTGACAACAATGTTCCGGGTACCAATGTCAACGTTCCTCTCGATGTAACAATTTTCTCACCACCGACATTCAAATAGATAATATCATTATTTGTAATAAATTTTTGCATTTGCTGTTTTTCTTGTTCAAATT